CCCTCCTCCTCCTCCTCCTGGAAGTTGGGACTAGCCAGGACCTGGTGGCAACCAAGTGGTTGGGGTGGGGGCTAGATTTCTAGAGTGGGAATTCATACCTGAGTCTGTGAGCTGAGCTGCTCTGGCTGGAGGAGGGAGCCAGCCAATCAGTGAGAGGAAATCCAGCTCCGAAAGTCAGGGGGGCACTGAGGGTGGGGACGTAGAGCCCAGGGATGACTGCCATGGTCAGCAGTTACATGCCTGGGACGGGCTCAGGTCCTTGCCTGCGTTGTGTTCCTCGGCCCAGCCCTGTGGAGCAGGGACTAAGCATGCCTGTTTGCAGACAAGGAACCAGACTCCAGGACTTCAGAAACTGGGCTAGGGTCGTAGAGCCTGTGGACTGAGCCACAGCGAGAGGAGTGAGGTGGGGACTGCCACGACAGCCTGCTGTTCATAGTTCCTCCTCACAGCCCGCTCCATGGGGCTGGGTGGAAGCTCCAGCCCCTAACCTCACTTGCTGACATGGAGGGAAGAACATGGAGAAATTGGAGGGTACAAATGCACACAGGGCGTCAGTGCCCAGGTGCAGGCAGCGGGAGCAATCCAGACCACTACGTTAGCAAACATTTATGGAGCGCCTGTGATGCCAGGCACCCATTTCTAGTTCTCAGGAGAATCCTTCAGCCTTGTTAGGATCAGTCCCTGCTTTTAGACGAAGAAACCAGCCCAGCAAGGTGACAGCTGGAAGGAATAGAGCCAGGACCAAAACCTTGGAAATCATGAGGGGCAGGTTTGGTTGTCACAATGATATGGGTCCTGGGGCTCAACACCAGCATGTGGGACAGTTCTGCAGTGAAGGACTTTTATTTTGAGCGATAGGGTAGTGAGCCATTGGTGAGTTTGAGCAGAGGAATGCTCTGATCAGTTTGTTTTATATTTATTTTTTAAATATGTTTTTATTGATTTCTAAGAAGGAGGGAGGGATAGAGAGAAACATTGATGAGAAACATCAATTGGCTGCCTCCTGCATGCTCCCTATTGGGGACTGAGCTTGCAACCCAGGCATGTGCCCTGCCTGGGAATTGAACCTGTGACCTCTTGGTTCATGGGTTGTAGCTCAACCACTGAGCCATGCTGGCTGGGCTGATCAACTTTTTTCAAAGGCTCCCTCTGGCTTCTCTGGTGAAAACAGACTGGGGGGGGAGGGGCAAGGCTGGGACCAGAGAGGTGGCAGTAAAGGGAATGAAGTGGGCAGACTAGATATTGAAGGTGGAGCCCATCAGTGTTTGCTAATGGGTGTGGGGTGTGAGCCGAGTCAAGGATAATTCTATTGATGAAAGTCTCTAAATGAAAAGGGGAAAAAATCCATATCTCACCACCCTAACCTTTCTTTCCCCCATTGAGATCCTATATACTTCCAAGTTCTTACCTTTTTAGTCATATACATTCTTCAGGTTCTGGCTAAAATTCTTCCTCCTCAAAGGCTTTATTAACCAAATCTACTAAATATGGGGCACCCAAGTAAAGAGTGCTATCTTGTTGAGATTATCTCTCATAATCACTACAATTTTGTGAATTTTTGTGCCGTGTGGTTAGGAAAGGACTGTTTCTCTGAAGAGCAGAGATAGAAAGTTCTGTGAGTGTGAGGGGCAGTTAGCGCAGGATTAGAGGCAATAATCAGGAGGTTTTGCAGTTTGAGGCCTAGCAAGGGGATCCATATGTACAACTGGACAAATAAGAGCTAATGTGTTTGTTTTTTTTAAATATATCTTTATTGATTTCAGAGAGAGGAAAGGAGAGGGAGAGAGAGAAATAGAAACATCAATGATGAGAGAGTCATTGATCAGCCCACAACCGGGGCATGTGCCCTGACCGGTAATCGAACCCCTATCGCCTGGATCCTAGCTCAAGGCTCAACCGCTGAGCCATGCCCGGCTGGGCTAATGTGTATTTTTTATTGGGTGAGGGGTGGAGGGCTTATAGCTTTTCTGAAAGTCTCAACGGGATTTCTTCCCTCCACCAACCCAAATTAAGAACTATTTTACCAGTTTCAAATTTAACAGGACAGAAACAGGGTGGGTGGAAATCATGGATTTGAGGGATAGAGAGTGAGGACAGAGCTGGGGGTGGGGTTCTAGAAGAGCCCATCTCCATCCAAATGGCAGAGCCACCTTTGCACCAGGCATGGGACATCATCTCATTTGGTGGCATCCCTACTTGTCCCCCTTGTCCTTTGACCCCTGGCCTGGCATCGGTCTTACCATATGTCTTCTTTGCTGCCCCTGAGCATTTCCCCGTTATACCTTCAGTGAAGCCACCACCCCTGGTTTTTCCTTCCTCTCCAGCAGCTCCTTGAACCTCTTGGTGTGGGGGAAGAGGCTCCCCTCCCCCCAAACCTTAAAGAATTTTTGATAGGTATGACTATTTGCTTTTAATTTAAAAACTTACAGCAAAATATACAACATAAAATTTACCATCTTAACCATTTTCATGTATCAGTTCAGTACATTCATAATGTGCAACCACCACCACCATCCATCTCCAGAAAAAACTTTTCATCATGTAAAACTGAAACTCTACTCATTAAACTCACTCCCCACTTCCCTCTCCCTCAGCCCCTAGCAACCACTTTTCTACTTTCCATGATTTTAAGTATTCTGACCTTTATTTTAATTTTTTTTAAATATGTTTTTTGGGGTTTTTTAGAAAGAGAAATATCTCCTGCAGGCTCCCTACTGGGGTTCAAGCCCAAAACTTGGGCTTGTACATCAACCAGGAATCAAACCCTCCGAGCCATACCAGCCAGGGCTCTGCTGACCTTTCAATGTCTTATTCCACAGGGTTCCATCCTCTGTCTTATTCTGCCTTTTCTAGATCATCTCATCCACTCCTAAGGCTTTGAATACTCTGCACTGCCTGATTCCCTTTTTTTCTCCTGGCATTTTTTTTAATTGTTAAAAGAGCTCTTTAGTCTTAAACATAGGATTTTTAAATCATGTGTTGCTCTTTTGAATACTATAAACAAAATTAATTGGTTAAAGTTTTTCTAAAACTTCACATTAGCATTGTGACTTCTACTTGAAGTCACTGATATCTCTCTACTTTCCGCATAAGATTGCCTTTGCTATGTTGGTCTTCTAACATTTTTTAAAAGAGCCCATAAAAGAATCAAAAGCCATTGGCACTGGCCTCTTAAGCTGCCCTTGCATTGATGTAGATCTAGCCTACTTAAAAAAATAAAGTTTAATATGCAAAAGAAACATAATTCATAAGTGTACAGCCTGATGAGTTGTCCAAAATGAACACACTCGTACCACACCACCCAGGTCAAGAAATGAACTTTACCAGCAGCACCCCAAAAGTCACTCCCACCCCTTCCCAAATATTACCCCCTTCTCCCCTTCAAAGGTAATCACGATCCTTCTCACCATTGATAGGTTTTGCCTGTTTTTGAGCTTTATATAACAATCATACAGTAGGCACCCTTTGTGACATGAAAACTTTTTGTAGTCGGAGCTGCCCTGTCCATAGGTGAATGAAACGGGCATAGCTGGGGGAAGTGCAAGCCCTCCTACTCCAGAACGTGTAAGCATAGGACAAAACCGCCTGGCTTCATCATGGTGCATCAGGTAAGGATTTGGAAGGTGCAATCCTGAGACCCGATACCATGGTCAGTCGGCTAAATATGTATATCAAGTTACCTTTGTATTAAATAACTTGTGGGCACATTATAAAAAGCATTTTCATCCATCATAGGCAAAAATTAAATTATGGATAACACCTAATTCTGGGGAGGGTATGGGGAAAAGGACATTCACTTTTCATTCACTATTGTGAAAGTATATAATTTCAAGGGCAATGAGCTAATACCTAGCAAAATTTTCAGTGTTCATACTTTTGGACAGCAAATCAACTTCCAGAATCTATCCTCCAGAAATACAGCAACCCTTACTGTGCCTCAATTTCTTCATCTCTAAGATAGGGATAATAGTACCTCAATACACAAACAATGCCAGCTACTTAAATATTAACCTTTGCCTTTGTTTTAGTATATTGGGTCTGTTTACTTGATGCTTTACTAAAAGACCAACAAACCTTCAAATCTTTTATTTCTACCAAACACTCCACGCAGGTAAATGAAACTGGATTAGTGTTTCTCTAAGGGCGATCCCTGGGAGGCTTGTTAAAATGCAGGTTTCTGGGCCCACGCGAAACCCAAGGCACAGAATTACTGCGGAAGCACCCCGACTGCGCTTTAGCAAGTTTCCACGGTGTTAATTTCCACTGAAATCTCAGCCGCTTCCCGACTTGGCTGAAGGCTGATGACGACCGCCGGCCAGAGGGCGTCGCTCTCCCCGAGCCCTGCGGACTCCGGCTCCCGGAAGGGCAGCTCTATCTTTTCTCTGCGTTACACTCGTCGCCTCTTTTCCGATTCCGGTGTCCCTCCCCCCCCAATACAGCCATGGCCGCCGCCGTCGCTGCTGCAGGTCCTGGTGCTCCCCTGCCCCCTGACGAATTGCTTCCTAAAGGCGATGCGGAGAAGACTGAGGAGGAGCTGGAAGAGGAAGACGACGACGAGGTACTGGGGCCCCGCAGGGCGAGGCGGGGAGCGGGGTCCGAACAGGAGCGTGCCGCCCGGGGGTGTGGGCTCCGCGTGCTGCGGGATCGGGGCAAAGGCGCGTCATGGAGCCTGGAGAGGCCGGAGCGGAGGCGTCTCTTCGGGGAGGCGGAGTTAGTGGCCCCACTGGGTCTAGGGTGCCCTAGCTCCAGGGCGTTCCGCATGCCCCGGCGTCGGGGAGAGGTTACCGCTGCTTCGGCCAAGACCTGGGCCTCTTCCACCACAGCCAGATGAGACCCTGTCGGAGAGACTCTGGGGGCTGACGGAGATGTTTCCGGAGAGGATCCGGTCCGCGGCCGGAGCCACTTTTGATCTCTCCCTCTTTGTGGCTCAAAAAATGTACAGGTAAGAGACAGGGGCAAAGACATTGGGGTGTGCCTGAGATGCCATGAATGAACACGGGCTTTGGAAGTAGCATACCTTCGTTGGAAGCCAGCCTGCTACCTAGAGATCGTTGAGTGACCTTGAAATTCTGGTACCTTAGCCTTTATTAGTGTCAATTTCCTTTTCTGTAAGGGGGGATTCTTGTTGGGCAGGGTCGTTGTTAGGCTCGTTTCCGATGATGTGAGATAACGTGTTAATTGTAAGAACAAAGGAGAAGGTTAAAACTGCTGTCACTAGATAGTGCTACCAGAACTGCTCCTTCTGTTTCTGGTGGGAGCGTGGTGCAAGAGTTAGGTAGAGTACATCTGTCATAAACATGGCATAGGCAGCGTGAGGAATTTGGTTCCTGTTGGTGCAGCCCTCTGGTTTTGCCTCACCGTGCTCGCCACCGCGCTCTGCAGGTTTTCCAGGGCAGCCTTGTGGATTGGGACAACTTCCTTCATGATCCTGGTTCTCCCTGTCGTCTTTGAGACTGAGAAGTTGCAAATGGAGCAACAGCAGCAACTGCAGCAGCGGCAGGTGAGCTGACTCTGGGCTTCTTGCCAGTGGTGGAGACTCAACTTGGTTGTTTCTCCAGCACCTGGGTAGACCAACAGTTAATGTGCGGGTAGGGATTGGGATCTGGCCCATGTTCTTTTACCTACTTGATTGTGCTGCCAGCATTGTTTTTGTAGACCTTGTGTGCCCCCTATCAGGTAGGATTTAAAATGATATCCCTGGATCTGTATAATGCCTTACATCTTTCCTTTTCTATTCCAGATTCTTCTAGGGCCTAACACAGGGCTGTCAGGAGGAATGCCAGGGGCACTACCTTCACTTCCTGGAAAGATCTAGTTTGTTACTGCTATATTTGACCTGTCTTGGTGGGAGAAGTTTGAAAATTCAATAGTGTTTGAACTGCTTTTTTTTTTTTTAACTTTGGCACATTGAGCTACTTAAACCTGGTTGGGAGAATCTTCACCACATTGTCTCATGGAGAGATTCCCAACTTGCAACTGTGCCCTCCACGCTGTCCTGACTTACTACTTCTGTCCTCACTCTGATACCGGAGTGCAGCAGTACAGATGGTTACTCCAACTCTGGCCATCCCACTTCTTTCACTAAATTACTCCTGACTGGAAGATCTCAGTGTCTCACTGTGGAGTAGGAACTGGTGCCATTGGGAAGGATGTACCCCTGACCATTAACAACAGTTTTGTTTTGATGTGCACACTATACGAAATACAGAATGCATTACAGCTGTAGTGTAAAAGTAGCCACTGTGAATTTCTATGTATGTTGGAAAAGAGAGAGGTCGGCAGCAGCTTCAGCCACAGGATGGGGACTGTGGAGGGCAGAGCAGGAGCTCACTTCCTCTGCACATTTTAGCTATTAGACCTGTGTGTGTGTCTAAAAGAGGAAAAAGTCAGTGCCCACTTTTGTAATTAAACATTAAAAATTATTCCAGCCAAAAGTGTCATGCATGTGCTTCTGATACGCACCTTGAAACTGCTTAGATCATTTCAGAAGGACAAATTCGTGGACAGCCACAAAACACAGTATATCGCCAGAAGATGACTTGTGATGTTAGTGAATTCCTTCTAAAGTAGCATCATACTCAAGTTGACCTTTTTTCTTTATGCACATAATTACAGGATTCAGGCAGACATGAGATTTATGTACGGAGTTTTCCGTTTTTAATATTTGGTTAAACAAAATACATCTTTTGTAAACAAACCCAGCACAAGGCCAACAAAAACGGGGGG